ATCCCTCTTCTATCCGCCTCCCACTCTCTCCCTATTTATTTCAAAACCCCCTTCCCCTCCCCCTTTTCTGATGAAGGGTCTAGGCCCGAAACATCAGCCTCTCTGCTCCTATGATGCTGCTTGGCCTGCTGTGTTCATCCAGCCTTGCACCTTGTTGTCCCTGTTCAATACATTGCTGGTATTGCTACCCATTGAGCCATAATTAATCAGGCCTAGGAAATTATTTTGCTGTTGAACTGTAATAATAGTTGATTTGTACAGTGAGAAATGATAGTGGCCAAGGACAAGTACAAATCTTCTTAATCTGTTATGCCAATAACAGGTTTGGGTCAGAAATCTTGATTCTGGTGACACTTGGTAGCTACCTCTGATTTTAAATTCCATTTTAATTAATTTGTACATTTTCTCCTGTTAGTTCAACATTTTACTGAGAAGAAAGAGTTCTGTTTGAGTGTGTTATCATATAAAACAACAAGCAGCTCAAGGCTGCACCAGAATCGCAGGGATCAGATGACCCCTGCATAATACAGTCAGATTTCCTATTCAGGGTTGATGATGTCATCTGAATCTCTTGACTGTAATTGTGACTTTCTCCTCAATCTGCTGTTTGAAACATTATTTTTAAAATGGAGAGATTGTAACTTCAAAGTTTGAAGTTATTGCTTACTCACCATGAAAAAATCTCAAATTTTGAAACCAAAATAATGGCAAGTTTAAAGGCATACAGCTATTAATGTGGAATTGTCCAGCATGTGGTGAGAAATTTATACCCCATGAGTGACTAATATCCAAAAGTTGATACACAATTTACAATGGCCCATCACTATGCTTCTGAGAATAAGAGCTCACTCAGGGGTTTCAAGAAATTGCTGCATTAATTGCCCAGTGAACTCTTTGGAGAAAATTAGGCTTGAAGTCTAACAAACGAATTCCTTTATTACAAATAAGATTTATATTTGTACAATGCCAATCAATCTATCAGGCCAGAACAAATTAAACTATGCAGTTTACTTTCTACAGGCAGTAAGGAGATTGATATTAGAGAAATAATAAATTTAAAATTTTTCTCTTACTTTTCCATCTGTTTTCTCTCTCTTAATCGATCTTCCTTTCTCCTTATTTATTACTTTTCCTGTGCCTGCTCTGACTCTCATTCATTCAATTTCCTACTCTTCCTTCACAATCCTTAAATGTCATAAGTTATGAAGATAGACTATTCTGTTCTCTGCTGAGATCTCAGATGTCCTAATATTGGATTGTGTGTTGAACAATTTACGCCACAAGATGTTTTTATTTTGAAATGTGAGGGCAAGAGAATCTAACTGGGCACATATTGAGGGACACTGCTTCAGCAAAATCTGGGTATTATTCGCAGTAGATGTATGAATATGTAATGACCGGTGAATGTTTTTAACAGGAGTACATTCAGAAAAATAAGACAAAATTGAGAAAGGTTAGTAAGACATACATGCATCCAAAAATACTTTGAATACATGCTTCAGTTTACGTCAAGGGAAGGAGGTAATGATGTAATAGAGGAAGGAAAGGAGCTTATCAAGATGGGTGATGTATGGTACTTTATTGACCGCGAGAATCTAAAAGCCAGCATTGGTTCAGAGTGCACAGAATCTATAAATATGATTTGCGATGCAGTCTTGAGCACAGCATTTCATCCAAGTGCTGGCTCGGATGACCTTCTGCGCAGGATACAGACAGTAATACCTGGGCAACAAGGGAAAAGCACTTTTGTTAATGCTTGCTGTGGATTGTGGCCAAGGAAGAAGTGATGCTGGAAATCACAATGGAAATTAAAATAAGAATTTATGTCACTGCCTTTTTATAAAAAAGAAAGTAACAATGTATTGTTAGTCTTGTGGAAAAGTTCACACTAAAGAAAAATAAGATGTGCTTGCCTGAGGTAAATCCAAATTATAAAAACTCACTGGGTTAATTATGCCTTCTCTAACTTGTTCTTACTCCAAGTTTGAAAGTTATTTCACACACCATCCACCATCCCCCACCCCCATTATGAGGAGGATTTTTGCTGAATTTGGTTCTGGCTTTTTAATGAACTGTTACAGGATTAGGATCAGAGTTGAAAATATATTAATTGTTCTGTAACAATATCATTAGAGCTCAGGTTACTTTTGGGGATTAGACATTTACTCTAGTTAAACTTGGAGCTAGTTTTTTAAGTTGCTTTATTCCTTTGTCTTTCTGTGCAATGTAATGGTCACAATCAGTGCCCTTACTAGACGTAATTGTTTAGGATAAATGAAATACTTTTTGCCATGAAGATTAAATATTAATATTAAATCGTAACTTTGAATGGAAAGCAGGTAACTCTTTGAAAGAGCA